CCCCCCCCGAGACAAATTCCCCCCTACTAATTGCAATATTCTCGTCACCTGACTACTGAGATGGTAATTTAAGAGAAAGTTAGATGACAATCGAAAAGGATCATAACATAGGATGATAGGCTGTCTTTGTTGTTGTTGTTGTTTCCAGGAAATACACTTTTCATCTTGGTTTTATTGTGGCATTCATGAGTTTACAAGACATTGTCTGATTAAAGTCACATAATTTTTTTTTTATCTTTGAAACAGAGTGATGAATCGCCCAAACTGACAGAAGAGTTGGCAGGTCCCTTGAGACAGATGCAGGTAGGAATAGTTTACATTGTATATCAGTAGCCGATGGCCGGCCGGGTCTTGACTTGATATATATTTAGTAATTTCTGTCTGTCTGTCTGTCTGTCTGTCTGTCTGTCTGTCTGTCTATCAGACAGCCAAACATCTTATGGACAGTTCCATGTAGTACGGCTCTAAGTCAGTCAGTGTTGGTGTTGATTATTACGTCCGACTTGTCGGTTTATTAGGCATTTTATACGAAAAATCACTTTGTCAGTCATTCAGTTAAACAAACGATCAGTCAATTAGTTGGTTTGTCAGTAAGTCAGTTAATAAGTCGGTAGTTCGGCCAGACAGATGGATGGACGGACAGCAGAGACAGACAGACCAGTAGACAGACAGTATGTCAGCCAGTCAGACAGGCTGACTGTTTGTCAGTCAATCTAACAGTCAGTCAGTAATTCAGTCGTTCAGTGAGACAATCAGTCGTTCAGTCAGTCTGTTGGTGTGTTGTCAGATAGACAAGCAGTTGGTTCTTTGGGTGGTGATCAGTCTGCTGGTAAGTCAGACAGACAGTCCGTCAGATAGACAGACAGTCAGTCAGTCAGATAATTAGTCATCGAAGAATGAATCAACGTGTGGCTGTTTTGGTAGATTTTAGCACATAACACATCGTAGCTGTTCATTTTGCCTTCATTGCATTGCGTTACTATGTTTTCAATTCTAACATCACATATTGTCTTCTAGGAATCTGCTCGGCGTATCAGAAGGTTTCAGAAGAAGCTAAGCTTCAAATTGACGTGGAAACTTACGTGGAGTCCTTTAAACCTCATATCATGGATGTGGTATTCGCTTGGGCAAACGGAGCGTCATTTTCACAGATCTGTAAAATGACTGATGCATTTGAAGGTAATGATTCTCGACAAAACTTTCCTGCTTACAAGTATAACAAGTGACTGCGTGATTCTCCAGGTTATTCGTGACTTTCGCAAAATAAAATAAAATGTTGTCACGCAAGTTGAATTATGCAGTCCCGTCAATGGTAGCCTCTTTTGAGCGTTCAGTTAGTTGGGGCACAGCGCGAAAATCAGCGCGCGAAAAATAAAAAAAAGCGCGGCGAGAGTTCGCGCGCTGATTTCCTCGCTGCGCCACAACTAACTGAACGTCTGGAAGAGACTACGTCAATGTATAAAGTTTATTCTACGTGAATCTGGCGGTTGAATTAGTTCATTAAGACTTAAAATTAAATGTTACTTTTGTTTTTTTAGGAAGTGTTATTCGTTGCATGCGTCGCCTGGAAGAACTTTTAAGACAGATGTGTCAAGCGTCAAAAGCCATTGGAAACACTGAGCTGGAAAATAAATTTGCAGAAGGTACTTTTTCTTCTTCCTTTTTTTTTTTTACTTACATGGTAAAGGTGCTATGTCGAGGTATTTTAAATCATTTAAATTGAAGCCTGAAAATGATGATATTGTAATTAGGGTAATGGAAGGAATGCTTTTGGTTGGAGAGTCTGTATAAGAAAAGAAGGACAAAATTTGTTTCGCCCGTTTAACGGATGTTTTCCCGTGAACGGTCACAAGTGGTAAGGGCTTATGTTACCACAACTTATGTTACTTATGACGGCTAAATATAGTGGCGTTTTGCCCTGAACACGAGCTCTCTACCCCTGCCCTCCCCCCTTTCCTCCAACCCGGGAGGAGGCACTTTGTGCCACTTACTATGAAGAAAATAGGCAGATAGATAGGTACGCAATGCGTACAAAGATTAAAAGTTAAATAGCTCTGGACCCATTCCGTGTATGTGATGGTAACTAATAATTTTCCTCTTTCCTCTGCGACTGATCCATATGTACGAATGACCTAAAAGAAGAATGCATGGCCAGGAAACACTTGTATTGTGGCTTATTAACCCTTTTGGAAAACGTTTAATTTTACTTCCAAATAATTTTCTCGTATTGACGTTTCTCTAAGGTATCATCAAAATCAAGAGAGACATTGTCTTTGCGGCAAGTTTGTACCTCTGAGAGGTGAACATGAATTAGCTGCTGTGGATACTTACACAAACGAGTTCCTGATGCAGGACACCTTGGAACCTTGGACAATAATGCTTCTGCATTTTGTTTGGTGCTGTTGGCTCGATTTTTCTGTCCATTTTGGCTTGTAGATTTTACCACAAGACAATCTGCGGTCTGAACTCTAAAGAACAGCTTATCCTACAAGCCCACGAACTTACTGAGGAGTAAAACGACATTTCTTAGACCAAATAATGACCTTAAACTTTGAAATTCAATCCTCGAGAACATTATTTTTAGCTTGGGAGAGTACACTTCTTGGACTTAGGATTGATAAGTAACGGTAGATAACGTAATGCTAGATACGATAACTTTTACAAATGATCAAATGTAAAGATAATAATCCCTTTGATTATGAAAGGTCGTTGTTGACTGTTATTTAAGGGCGACTGTCTTGATTAAGGTTCATTTTTTGGCAAATTAGAAAGTTATCTCCAAGGCAAGACAAGAAGCTCTAGGGCTCAGAACTGTGCCTGGTAGTTTGACATCTTAGTAAAACCACACGAAAGGCTAGCATGAGTCTTGCTAGCGCCAGACGTTCACTAACTGTCCTCGATTGTCTTGCAGATAATCTCTTTTCAATGCAATAATAACTCAACAAAATAATTTTACACTTGGCACGAAGCTAAGAATGGAGCTCTTAAATTTTGACTTCTATTTTACTGGAAGAAATGTCTGTTCGCTTTGTCGAGAGTTGACGTAATGTCTTGAAATTCGGGTCTCATCAGATGTTATTTCGCTTTCGATTAAAAGCTTGAGTTGAAGTCGCTATAGTGCTCGAACTAAGCGGATATTTTCCTCGGTCACAAAACTTCTTTGCCCTTGGGATCCCCACTGACAAATATCGTCATTTTTGTATTGTATATACTGTATGTAGAAACTGAAAGAATACTTTAATAAATGACCTGTTTTGGTTTTAGCTTTTTGTTGTTTTTGTTGTTGTTGTGGAGGGGACTTCTCTTATCTTCAGTCTTAACAATGAAACAAGGAAACACTATGGACACCAAACCATCGGCTCTATCATTGTATCTTCATCACCCGTAAAACTCCAGTTAATTATTTTCACCCTACCCCATTTTGTTTTCAACGTCGGCTGATGGAACTTTTCCAGTTAATTGCAGTGCAGACTTCGCGAGTTATCGGTACTCCACCGAGTACATTTCACGCCATTTTGACTTAGGAAAAGTGAGCGAGGTGGAGCTGGAGACAGCAGGCGGGAAGACACTCCACTTTCAGCCTATCTCTTACTCCCAACGACGCTTTTTCGTCTCTTCCCAAGCCTCTTCGAAGTTCCAGCTCCCTTGATCAAAATGCGCTCGCTCGCCAAACCTTGCCAGCATTGCGAGCTAACTTTGATTAAGACCTCGACTGAACGCACTGTACATAATAATCTTTTATTACTGCTAGCCTCCAATACACAGGCTGAAGAAAGCCCTAGGCAAAAAAAATGGAGAACACTCCCGAGAACACTAAAAAAGGGCGAAAAACGACCAAAACTAAAGTGGTCTATCTTTACTTTGAAAACCAATCTAGATTTCTCGGTTTTCCACCCTTTTTTCTCAGCGTCCTCTATAATTTTTTCCCACTACTTTATTCAGACTGTTCCTTGCCTCTTTTATAACCCAGGTTAGATCCATAAACTTAGGCCAGATCCAATTTCCTCAAAACATTTTAACTGCAAAGTTGGCTCAAACGAAAAAAAAACCTTTTAAACTATCCAAAAGATGNTTGGTTTTAGCTTTTTGTTGTTTTTGTTGTTGTTGTGGAGGGGACTTCTCTTATCTTCAGTCTTAACAATAAAACAAGGAAACACTATGGACACTAAAACATCGGCTCTATCATTATATCTTCATCACCTGTAAAACTCCAGTTAATTATTTCCACCCTACCCCATTCTGTTTTCAATTTCGGCTGATGGAATTTTTCCAGTTAATTGCAGTGCAGACTTCGCGAGTTATCTGTACTCCATCGAGTACATTTGCCGCCATTTTGACTTAGGAAAAGTGAGCGAGGTGGAGCTGGAGACAGCAGGCGCGAAAACACTCCACTTTCAGC